AGTGAAACTTTTTTTTTTTTTGTCTTTTTTCCATGTCCGGCAATGGATCGCAACCCTCAGTGTCGTCCCCGCACTGGACCGGGACCGGCAACGGGATCGCAACCCTCGGTGTTGCCCCCGCGCCTCGCTCAGCCAGTGAGCGGGAACCGGTCTGTATGTGGGATCCGAACCCTCGGCGGGAGCGCTGCTGCGCTTCCCAAGCGGCGCACTAGCGCAGTGCGCCACCGGGCCGGCCCCTGCAAAGGGTAATTTGAACATTTACTCTCTACATTGTCCCTCTTGTCCCCATTGTTACTCTGCCAACACACCACAGGGAATGCTCACACCACAAGTCTTGCTCTCTGCTCTTTCTGGTCCATTCCAGGGCTCTTTCTCCCCATGACATAGTGTCTAGACTCTTCAGATTTGCTGAATCCCCATGGCAGACACTTCCCTGTAGCCGAAGAAGCAGGGCACAGCATCATGGCTGATAGTGAGTGTTGCTGGGCAGGAGCCAGGAGAGGCCAGCAGAGCAACTCTGAAGGCACTGCAGGCCGAGGCTGGGAAAAAGAGGTCTCCAAGGCACAGGAAGTGGTGGCTCTAGGGAAAAGCAGCTTGCTTGGGCTGTTGATGGGAACCCGAGAAATGCTGGGCAGAGTTGAGAGTGTGATCATACTATGGGTGTGGACTGCTACCCTATGCCACACCACCTTCTAGAACCCTGATTCCTTTCAATAGGTTCTCTGTGGCCAACACCAGACTGCAGAAGCCTGAGTCTGCTCTTTCACCTCTGGCAGCCTCCAGCCAAGAGCAAGAAATCTGAGTCTCTGGCCATGGCCACTCTGCTTTCTCCTTCCAGCCACAGTCCCAGTGAGAAGCAAAGCAAGCTAAAGGTAACAATGATGATGGCTGAAGAAAGGAGCTGTCACCACCTCTGCCTCCACCTCCTGGCTTTCTCTTCTAGTGCGTGACTAGTCTAGGGTTAGGGGGATAGCTGGCTCTTTATGTCTCAGGCTGTCCCAGAGTGCATTGCTTAATTAGTGACAAGCTCTTCTGCTCACCCTCTGTGGGCCAGAAGCTGTTTTAACTCACAGTAAAGCCAGAACATTACGAGTCACACACTGAACTTGGTCTTTTAAACTCACTCCTTGTGGCACTTCCCCTTGTCACTGTATACCCTGGGAGTTGGCTTTGCCTGCCCTTCCTTACCTGGTTGTCGATCTTGATCTCTGTCAAGGTGTCATTTTCTTTTAGTGCCTCTACCAGGGCCAGGATCCCGCTTCCAGTGATAAAATTGGATTCTATGTTTAGACTTTTTAAGGTCTTGTTTACTTTCAGCATATCTGCAAAAGCCTTATTATGCAAAAAGAAATAACCATTAGGTTTTATAAAGACTGATTTACTGAACCCCTAATTATTCTCAAGTTAAACAGACATTTTTTACAGCACTTAAAGAAAACCTTCATTAAATCATGCTTTCACCTCCAAGTAACAAAGACAATAACTTCATACTGCAGTAAAAGTACTTTAGTTCAGCAGTCCAAACTTATACATTTCACACACCTGCAAAAATTTTTCTAAAAGACACTGAAATAGGATTACCAACTTATTTTATTTTTTTATTTTTTGTCTTTTTTTTTTTTTTTTTACTGACCAGTATTTTTTTTTCCCTTTTTGTCTTTTTTACTGACCGGTAACGGGATCACAACCCTTGGTGTTGCGCCCGCACCGAGCTCAGCCAGTGAGCGGGAACCGGTCTCCACATGGGATCCGAACCCTCGGTGGGGGCGCCACCGCGCTCCCAAGCGGCGCACTCTCCAGTGCGCCACCGGGCCGGCCCGGATTACCAACTTATTAAAAGGACATTTATTAACAAAAAAACAAAAAACCACAAAACCCACTACCATCTGTTAACATTGCCAATTTTATTTTTTTTTAGAAAAGACATTTTAACATTAGGAAAAAAATAGAAAGGACATAATTTCAGAATTATCTTCTTTCCCTTTTACTAGGAATGGATAAAAATTTACCATTGACTAGCATTTGGGCACTACTGCTTTACTTATATTATCTCAGATCTATAAATCAGAATTCCTTCAAGATAACTTAGGAACAAAACCACCACTCAGAACAGCAAACCCACTGGAGACTCCCAGTTTGAGACAGCACACTATACACAGACACCTGCCTTTACTCCCAAAGTTTCCCATCACCATCAAGAAAAGATAATTTTTAAGAGACTGGAACTCTCACAGTGCAAACCTAAACAGACCAATAATGAGTAATGAGATTGAAGCAATAATAAAAAGTCTTCCAACAAAGAAAATCTTGGGACGAGATGGCTTCACTGCCAAATTCTAGCAAACATTTAAAGAAGAATACCAATTCTTCTCAAACTCTATCAAAAAATTCAAGAGGAAGTAACACTTCCAAACTCATTCTACAGGCCTGCATTACCCTCATACCAAAATCAGAAAAAGACACAACAAAAAAAGAAAACTACATATCAATACCTCTGATGAACACAGACTCGAAGATCCTCAACAAAGTACTAGCAAACAGAATCCAGCAATGCATTAAAAAGATCATATACTATGGTCAAGAGGGATTCATCCCAGGGATGCAGGGATGGTTCAACATATGAAAATCTATAAACATGATACATCACATCAAGAGAATGAAGGAAAAAAAACCACATGAACATTTCAATAGATGCAGAGAAAGCATTTGATAAAATCTAACACTGCTTCATGATAAAAACACTCAACAAATTAAGTATAGAAGAAATGTACCTCAACACAATAAAGGCCATATAAACAAACCCACAGCTTACATCACAGTTAATGGACAAAAATTGGAGGCTTTTCCTCTAAGATCTGGAACTGGACAAGGATTCCTACTTTCTCTACTCTTATGTAACATATTACTGGAAGTTTTAGCCCCTGCAAAAAGGCAAGAGAAAGCAATAAAGTGCATTCAAATTGGAAATGAGAAAGTCAAACTATCCCTATTTGCAGATGACATTGATCCTATACATAGAAATCTCTAAAGACTCCACCACAATATTACTAGAACTAATAAATTCAGTATAGTGGCAGGATACAAAATCAACACATGAAAATCAATAGTCTTCCTATATGACAAAAACAAAATAGCTGAAGAAGAAATCAAGATAGTAATCCCATTCACAACAGCTACCAAAAAAATTAAATACCTAGGAGTAAATTTAACAGAGGAGGAAAAAGACCTCTACAATGAAAACTATAAAACATTGGTGAAAAAAATTGAAGAGGACACAAATAAATAGAAAGATATCCCATGTTAATGGGTTGGAAGAATTAACATCATCAAAATGTCCATATT